ACTGACAATTATGTTGTTTGTTTCCCGTGTAAGTAATAGAAAAGTGTTGAAAATATTAGTATGTGGGGACGACGAGTTGCTCAGTTATTGAACAAATAATGTTGTGTACAAAAAAATTTAAATAATATATTTTTTGCATGAGGAACAGTTTATGGTTTGATAATTTTCCTACAAATTATCGCTCTTTTATTTATTAATACATTTTAATTTTTAATATTCTCCGAAGTAAATACAGCCCGTGCATCGCACGGGTTACATACTAGTGAGGAAGTATTGATGAATGTTGGTTTTATTAAAGCATATAAAATTAAATAAAATTTTAGAGTTACTTCTAAAATTGATTTCAAAATAAAATCTTCAATATGATGAATTATTGATGAATGTTGTTTTTTTAAAGCATATAAAAATTAAAATATAATTAAGTAGTCATTAAAAAAAATCTAAAAAAAATAAGAAATCTCTGAAGATCCGAACCAAACCATACCGAACCGTCTCAATAGTCTCTAATACCGAACTGAACCGAACCGAACCGAAAAATAAAAATATCCGAACCGAACCAAACCGAACTTTTGGTCCGGTTCCGGAGATCGAATTTTGGGATCTCCGAACTTTGGTACGGTTCTGGAGATTTATCAATCTCCGAACCGTACCAACCCACGCTCACCCCTAGATTTAAGACCACTAATTTTATATCCTACCCAAATATTTTTAAATTTTTTATATATATTGTTATCGGTTAGGTTCGGTCTGGTAAAACCAAACTCATGGGTTAGGAACCCATATCGAACCAATAATATTTTGATAACAGAATATCGGCTATCGTTACACATAAGTCAGTTCGGATCAATTTATTTTCTCATCGGTACAGTTCGATTCGATTAAAAACTATATTCGGTTTTCGGTCAAAAGATATACGAGCGAGTGAATCAACACCATGGTATAATTCCATAGATACCCAAACTCGAAAAATTGCTCCAATAAGCTATTCAGTTTACAATTTTATTTTTTTTTTTTCATTTTTTCGACAAAATCTCATCTCTACACTCAAGTTCAGAAAAGGAAAAAACCATTTCGCAAGCTATCCCCATGGATTTGCTTCCGGTGGAGTCGCCGCAGATCCTGAGCAGGAGCAAACGGCGGTTCCGCTCGCTCAAGCTCGTCACCGTCAATGACGACGACGTTCTGTCCGAGACGCCGTACGGCGTCAACTACGGTCGTCTCAGTAATGGTCTCACTTACTATGTGCGCTCAAACTCCAAGCCCAAGATGAGAGCTGCTCTCGCTCTCGCTGTTAAAGTTGGGTACGTGCATTTTTTTTTTCTTGGAATACTTCCCCAAACTGGTTTTCCGGTTTACTCCTCTGATTGTTTGTTAGTGCGTTTGGCATTTGTTGTTGCCTTTTCATTGAAAATTTGTGTTAAGTGGGATTTTAGTGCCTTCTGGTGATTTGTGTATTGCTGTTTGCGGTATTTTCTTGGAAGTTTGATATGTCAGGCCAGTTCGAATGTATGATGCCAATGTCAAATTAGTGATTGATCATTAGGTACACCGCGCACATGTGTGTGTGTGTGTGTGTTGCGACCAATGCGACTGTCCTAAGTGGTCGGAATTTATATGTGGACCTCGCATTGGTGTCATTCTACTCAATAGTATTGAGCTGCTATGTTGTACTAACTTGATGACAGCCTACAGCTAACTTGCTCTTGAACAATCTTAGATTCACTATTGCATAGTTGAGTCTGGTACTTCATAATTCGCCAGTGTAAACAAAATTAAATTATTCAAGAAATAAAATGAACATAAGTGTAAAAATAAAGCCCGTGCCTTCAAAATTTGACACATTTACTGAGCACACCCTTTCGTCCATGGCAGTTCAGTTTTAGAGGAGGAGGAAGAGCGTGGAGTTGCTCATATAGTTGAGCATCTAGCTTTCAGTGCCACCAAGAAATATACGAACCATGATATTGTCAAATTTCTTGAAAGTATTGGGGCTGAATTTGGTGCCTGCCAAAATGCTGTTACATCAGCAGATGAGACTGTTTATGAGTTATTTGTTCCTGTTGACAAGCCTGAACTACTATCTCAGTCATTATCGGTCTTGGCAGAATTCAGTTCTGAGGTAAAGGTGTATTGCATTTAGTTTTTGAGTATATTCTTTACTTGAACATTGTCATATCTCCTGTGGTACAGGTTCGTGTATCAGCAGACGATTTAGAGAAGGAAAGGGGAGCTGTGCTTGAAGAGTATAGGGGAAGTAGAAATGCAAATGGAAGAATGCAGGACGCTCACTGGGTTCTCATGATGGAGGGTTCTAAAGTAATGCTTTCTTTTTCTTGTAGATCTCATCACCCGTTTTTGCTGCATTCGAATTTTTTAGGAGATTAATTATTATTGATTAATTTTTTGTTGAGGATCTTATCTCTTTATTGTGGTTTCAGTATGCTGAGCGTTTACCCATCGGACTTGAAAAGGTGATTCGTATAGTTACCCCTGAGACTGTTAAGCAGTTCTACAATAAGTGGTACTATATGCAAAATATGGCTTTGATTGCTGTTGGAGATTTTCCTGATACAGAGGTTAAAATTTTGTTCATCATTTTTTCCTTTTACATGGTTCCACATAACATCAAGTTTAATTGGTTCCTTGTTTCCTTCATATATTTTCCTTTCATGGCAGAGTGTTGTTGAGTTGATAAAAACCCACTTTGAAGATAAAACTCCGGTACTTGATCCTCCTCTCATCCCGCAGTTTCCGGTCCCAGCACATGAGGAGCCACGTTTTTCAAGTTTTGTGGAATCTGAAGCAGCTGGGGTTAATACTTGATTCTTTATCCTATCTTTCCATTAAAAAATATATAACAAATGTCAGTTTTAGCCACAGCATTTTCCCTGTAGCCGAGATTCATGCAGTAATATTACTTTGATAATTTGTGACAGTCAGCAGTGATGATCAGTTGCAAGGTTCCAGTGGTTGAGCTAAAAACTGTGAAGGATTACAGGAATCTACTCGCCGAGTCCATGTTTTTTCATGCTCTGAACCAGAGATTCTTTAAGTTGTCTCGTAAGAATAATCCACCTTATTTTTCATGCTCCGCGGCTGCTGATGTACTTGTTCGTCCAATTAAAGCCTATATAATGACTTCATCCTGTAAGCAACATGGGACTACTGAAGCACTAGAATCGATGCTGATTGAGGTGCCTCTTCCATCCTGATTTACCAACTTATTCTTTCTTTTTTTTTTTTTTTTTTTTTTTTTTTTTTTTTTTTTTTTTTTTTGCTGCACTTATGCATGATTTTTCAGGTTGCTAGGGTTCGCGTGCACGGATTTTCTGAGCGTGAAATATCTGTCGCACGTGCTCTTTTAATGTCGGAGATTGAATCTGCCTATCTGGAGCGAGATCAAATGCAATCAAGCAACTTACGAGATGAATATATACAGGTATCTCCTTCTTTCTCTCATTGTATATCTGTATATGATGTTCAAATGGTTCAAAAGGAAATCTTCCTTTTGTGTATAATGTGCATATCCCTCTTTTGTCACAGCATTTTCTCCGGAATGAACCTGTTATTGGGATTGAATATGAAGCACAACTTCATAAAACCCTTCTTCCCCGTGAGTATATTTTAATTCCTTCCTTCCTTTTTTTTTGTGTGTGTGTGTGTGTGTGTGAATTGTAAACCAATATAACTCACTAACTTACATTGTTCTGTTCTTTTCAATTGTAGATATATCAGCCTCTGAGGTGTCTAGTTATTCAGAAAATTTCCGCACATCTTATAGTTGCGTAATAAAAACAATTGAGCCTCAAGCAGCTGCAACAGTGGATGATCTGAGAAATGTTGTTTTAAGGGTCAATTCTTTCGAAGATGGAGGAAGCATTTCTCCCTGGGATGACGAAAAAATTCCAGAAGAAATTGTTAGTCTAGAGCCAAATCCTGGGTAAAATCACTCTTCTATCCATCCTTTATGATACAGGAATGATCTAATTAATTAGCAACCAGAAAATTACCTTTTTTTGAATGCTGTATTTATTGAAATAACCTTGTATGCTCAACTTTGTAAACTAAATCATTGTCAGCAATTGAACAACTTATAATTCCAAAGTAGGAATGATAATAAAACTCATGATATCCCTCTCGTGGTGGAGAGATGGGGCATGTGCATCCGTTTGTATCGAGTACTCTGCTACATACTTGACTGAGTTATTAGGTTTTGTCCCAAATTTATGAACGCAGAAGAACATGGGTTTGGCATAGATCTTGTTACTTTTTGTTTACAATCTACATGTATTGTACTATTCACATATAAGGCATGGAAAGCTTAGACAATCTTTGTTTTTAAGTTTCCAACAACCGATTTCCATTTTAAGCTATTCATATAACTGCTATCATGTTTGTTTGTTTGTTTTTCCATAGCAAATCATTACTACAATTCCAGGTATTACTTAAAAACATCATCTCAAACAATACCCAGTTCTCAATTTTCATATGATTATTGATTCCATATCCATTCTATTTCATTTATTTTCTACAAGTTTTCATTCCATGGTTTGTACATCTGCTATTATGATGAACCTGGACTTTTAAAATTTCAAGAACAGCACTAGATGCAGAACCTGGCCCAGTCTTTTACCATCTTCTAGTAAATTCAACATAGACGTGAACATCTTCATGTCTTTATATTTCATATATTAGTATTTATTGATGGAGAAATCCCAGAAGTATTTTGTCATATATTTGTGTTCCTGAGATCAATAACTGATGACTGTTATCAGACTAGTTATTGATTGATTGCATGATACATACAATCAAGAGTTTGAGGGTAGTAAATAAAATAAATTTCAAACCTGTAATCATGCAGGAAATAAAATAATATACTTTCTCACTTGTCAGGATAAACCCTGGTCCCAGCAATCTTGCAGTGTAACACGAAGTGAAGAAAATATAATAATATACTTACTCGGGATAAAACAAATAGTTCTCCATTGTCTTATGCAAAGGATTAACACTTCTATACAGGATAAATCTAGCAAATAAATGGATATCCTATACCTAAAAACCCACCAAGTGAGAACGGCCCACAACAATAATTATTAAACCTATTGTCTAATTAACTAATAATAACAGCTAATAAATCCGCATGCGGTACCGTTGCTATTTCCTAAGTGCTAGTTAGTAATATGCATGTAGTTATATTCAGTACTGTGAATTTGATTCTTTTGTTGTGTTTCAGTCATGTGGTGGAGCAGCATGAATACACCAGCATTGGTGCAACTGAAATGATTCTGTCAAATGGCATGCGTGTTTGCTATAAATGCACAGACTTTTTTGAGGACCAGGTAATATTGATTGTACTTTGAGCTAAAGTTTTTTTTTTTTTTTTTTAAGGTTCATCTGGATGCAATTGATATAGAATTCTAAATTTTATGTACTGTCTAACACTTCAAGCTGGGAACTGAGGGAGTGGGAGTTTTATTAAGATGTAATTGATATAGAATTCTAATTTTTATGTACTGTCTAACACTTCAACTGTTGGATACCTTATTTGAAGGATATTAATTTACATTGACTTCACAAATGATTGTTCTAACGTTTTATTTTTGTTTGCTGGTTAAGTATTATTATATTTTTCATTATTTTCAGGATATATTTCTTTGAATTGACAACTGATAGTTCTATTAGGAACTATTTGTAATCTCCGTGTTAAATAGATTGCAGATACTTGCGAAGGCAAGTTTGTAGTTTTAACTACTTATTCTTATTCAACTGTAAGCACAAGACATTAGAATTACCTCGATGTAAGAGTGTCACGAGGAAGCACACTATTATAGAAAAATGTGTTACCATTAATGATTAGCTGGCACCTTATGATGCCAAATCCATACCTATATGATATTTTTGCAAGCACCTTATGATGCAAATTGTTCTACCTATATAACATTTTCTCATCCCTTTTATTTTCTTCTATGTGAGAGAATTTGTGATTAAGATGACATCTGGTTCGACTAGGAGTTGTAAAATTCTTGTGGCGGCCACTCCATTGTGTTGAAAGATATACTTTACACTTTACAGATCTATTTGTTGATTTGCAGTTTCCTCAAATTTTAGTTAGTTTTGGGTTTCTGTGGAAAAGAAATAAGTACTCTTTAGTTTTGCGTGAAATATCTTGGTCTTTTAATTCTGTAATGCTTTGTTCCACATTGGCTTGGTGGATAGAGATCAAAGAGTTGTGTGAAAAGATCAGAGTTGCATTCTTCTAAAACGACTAAGATTTGACCCCTTTGGATTACAATATATAATAGCTTCATGTCAAAAGAGATTTAGCAAACTGCTTCTGAATTAGCCTGTTCTGTTCATGTCCAATTTCTAGTTCCTAGAGTTGTGAAATGTTTTTTTTTTTTTTTCGCAAAATGAAATATTTGTTTGTAGTTGGCTGGAATAGTCATGTTTGGAAATGTAATTATGTTCCATTCTAGTTTTTATGTGCTTTTTCGTCATTGATTGGTGTGATTTTGGTGGAAATTTGGTTATTGTTTTTGAAGTATCTTCACAAGAACTTTCATTATTCAACAAAAAATTGTTGAGTTTTATTTCCATGTTCCTATTTCCATGTAAAAATCTGGATATGATTCAAATTCCTTTGAAAACTTCATCGAGAAAAATAATTTCATATTCTGGGAAATTTGGGAACTGGAATGAGACTTAAAACGCCACTGGTAGTATATAATGTGCAATATTAGTTGAGACAAGTCTAGCTTAATACTAACATTTGGTTTTAAAAGGTTTCATTCACAGGTTTCTCATATGGAGGCTTATCCGAACTCGAAGAATCTGAATATCTCTCATGTTCAATGGGTTCCACTATTGCTGGTGAAATTGGAGTTTTTGGTCATAGACCTTCTGTTCTGTCAGATATGCTTGCTGGTAAAAGAGCTGAAGTAGGCACAAGCTTAGGAGCATATATGCGAAGCTTTTCTGGCGATTGCTCTCCTTCGGACTTGGAAACTGCATTGCAGGTTTGATTGATAACATAGTTATCATGTGACTTATCTCTATTGATTTTTCTAAAGGTTCCCATGTAGTGGGTGTAAGTAGTAGAATTAGACTCATTGGCAGGATGGATTTTACAGGCCTGAGTTTCCTATTTCCTATAATGACTATTCTTCCTGCACCTGATTGGGGGAAGAAGCCACTTTATTTTTCTGTTCATGTAATCCACCTATCCAAGTGCAGACATCTTTCAATTATTCATGTTTTTATTCATAACTGTTTCAATTTTTGGCTTACTTCTTCTGTTTCTGTGCTAGAACTGCTAGCTTTGGTGTATATGCAGCTAAGGATTTTGAATCATTGATCAATCCATTGAGTTGTTCAATTACAAACAATTTACAATGGATTTTAAACCGATGTTCAATCCAATAAATTGTCTAAATAAGATCAATCTACAATGGATATAAAATCCATCTCATTTTGAGGCTGTGAAGTGCTTTCCACAACCACCCTCAAATCCAAATTCAAATCCATAGTTAAATTCCATTTTTCTTGAACTTAACCACATAATGATTCATTCGTCCATTCATTCTCTCCTTTTTTCCTTTGGGAGGTGGGGGATGAATCGATGGGCTGGTGATGGACAACTGTGTTACTACTCTCTATCACCCTTACTCATATATCAAAGTTTCATAGAAACCCTGCAGATTTATGTCAGAGTGCTGAAGAGAATTTCTGTTATTTCACAACTATTTTCTTGACTCACTGTTATAATTAGGCAGACTGGTTTTGATAGTGGGGGTTCCATGAATGCACAGGCGGATTCACACATTGGTTTTGGAGGAGAATAATTTTTAATAATATCACTTATTAGATGTACAAAAGATACAAAGTTGCATTATAAGCTGGATAAATAAATATAATAAAGTTCCATCACAAAATACATAACTTCCAAACTTCAGTGTTATTAAGATTTTGTGCAAATCTCTTATAACTTACGGTCACTAGTTGCCAATCAATACTAATAGTTCATACAATTTTCCTTTCAACCATGCACATCTCACATAATTAGTAGATAGATAATTATTATAGTTGAATACAATTAGTAGATAGATAAATAAACAACAAACAATAATTTTGGGAGCTAATGTTTAAATTACATTTGTTTAAAAATATAATATGTTCTTTCCCACCAGTTGGTCTATCAACTCTTCGTGACGAATCTACAACCTGGAGAAGAAGACGTGAAAATAGTCATGCAAATGTCGGAGGAATCTATTCGTGCTCAAGAGAGAGATCCTTATACTGCATTTGCTAACCGTGTGAGGGAGATCAACTATGGAAATTCCTACTTCTTTAGGGTAAATTACCTATCCTTTGTTGTTTACATTTTTTTTTATTTATATATTGATAGTAACATGGATATTTTTTCTTCAGCCAATTAAAATTAGTGACATACGGAAAGTTAATCCCTTCAGAGCTTGTGAGTATTTTAACAATTGCTTTAAGGATCCGTCAACTTTTACTGTGGTCGTCGTTGGTAATATTGATCCTGCCACTGCTTGCCCTCTGATACTGAAGTATTTGGTAAGTGTTGTGGATTTTTCTAATAATTTCTTGATGATGGATATGTCTTCTCTGTTATGAGTTTTCTAAGTACTTTACGCAGGGTGGGATCCCAAGACCTCCGAAGCCAATCCTGAATTTCAAACGTGACGAACTCAAAGGCTTACCATTTACTTTTCCGTCCACTGTAATTAGGTTGGTCAACCATTAGTTACCTTTTGATTTCTTGACAGTTAGGGTGCTGCTTGATAAATAATCTCTTCGTCGGTTATGAATAGATAAAGCACATAAATCTGTATATGGAGTATTGCTTTTGTCTCTACTATGTACCCTTGGCTGGGGAATAATACTTATATATCCAGTCTACAAGTTTTTAAAATTGATGTTAGTTTGTGTATGGAACCATTCATTTGTTGTACATATGCACAAATAACATGCGTGCTTACAGAGAAATTGTGAGGAGCCCCATGGTGCAAGCTCAGTGTTCGGTCCAATTATGCTTTCCGGTTGAGCTTAAGAATGAAAATATGGTAAACAGTTACACCTTCACAAAAATGATTTAAATCTGCACTGGGAATGGGGATTTGTGTACTTTTCTTATGGGAACATTTTTAGGTGAGTAGGAATTTGGCATTTATATTGCTTTCACCTGGATCATCGTCTTCTTTACCTTTATACTGCAGATGGAAGATGTTCACTTGACAGGATTAGTAAGCAAACTTCTGGAAACAAAGATAGTACAAGTCCTCCGCTTTAAGCATGGACAGGTGCGCTCATGAAATCTTTGTGCTTTATCCTGGAACTAAAAAGTATGTCTGCTAATGTTTCTGAGGAACAATGTAATTTTTCCAGATTTACTCGGCTGGAGTTTCTGTGTTCCTTGGAGGTAATAGACCGTCAAGAGTCGGTAACATACGTGGCGACATAAGCATTAATTTTTCTTGTGATCCTGAAATTTCATCTACGCTGGTGAGATTATTCTCTGTTCCACTCATTTATTCCTCTTAAATTTGTATATTACAACGCATCAGATGATACCAATTACAGGTCAATTTTGCCTTGGATGAGATCTTGCGTCTTCAAGAGGAAGGACCATCGGACGATGATGTTTCTACCATTCTTGAAATTGAGCAAAGGGCCCATGAAAATGGATTGCAGGTTCATTCGGGAAATGCACTATAGTGATATTACGGTTCTGTGGGGCAAATGACCCATAAGATTTTTAATGCTTTTCTGTACCACTTAACTAACTAGGATATTTTGAAATGCATATATAATGGTCCATATGGAGTTTCTACTAAATGCCACTCTTTGTGCTGATTTTCGGCATTGTCCAGGAGAACTATTATTGGTTAGAGAGGATTTTGCGTAGCTACCAGTCGAGAATTTATTCTGGTGATGTTGGCACTTCTTTCCAGGTTTGATATATTATTTCCTTTTTTCAGTACAAATAAAAATGCAACTGCCTTGATTCTAGAAATGCCATTACTTCTCGACCTGATATAATATGAACATTCTGTAGTTCTTTTAGAATTTGTTTGCTGTTCTCTCTCTCTCTCTCTCTCTCTCTCTC